TCGTCAAAATGTGTGTCGTTTTGTGGCAAATCTAGTGTGACCTCATCACACTTGCTATTCACTCCAACCTCCTTTCTTTCAATCGGCTGATCCGACTTGGGCCTCCAGTCCTGATCCCCTCATTGTCTCGTAGATCCATTCCTTATCTTTCTGGTTAACCGATTTCACTCGATTCCAGTTTCAGTGTGCATTTCACTCCAGGCTCTATTTCTCAGGGCCCTAGAAGCACGTACATTGCCGCTTCACTGAGCAGAGCGCCTAAGCTCTGATTCCCATGCTTGCAGATATCAGACCTTGAAGGAACGCCCCTGGTCCAGATTCCACTATTTGCATGATAATTTCTAAAGTCGGACCGTGGACGTGGTACATTACCAGACGTTTCGCCGGCATCGTAGTCGGCAACGTCCTAGCACCACACTACAACTCGTCAAATAGACAAATGAAGCCGATCCTTTCACCAACAGTTGTGGTATTTCTCTTTCTCTCATGGGCTTTTCACCGTTCCTATATCCTCGTATCACCCCTTCACTATCACTTTTTTTCTTTTTCTTTGCTTATTTAAATGTAGTTTGGTGCAATTTTGAGCAAGTTTCATGAGAACCCTCAATACTCCACGCTGGCGTTTTTACCTCCTTTCATCCTTGTGTTGGTTGAGTATTAAAGATTGGGAGGCGGGGGTCAAGTAAAATACTTGAACCAGGGAGATAGCAGACGGATCCTACGGAGTAAGAGGGAGACTCGGATAGGACCTAGGGAAGGAGGACTGCCTAACAATATGGCAGACTGATCAACATTCCTAGCACAAGATTAAAGGGGGTAAGAACGCCAGCATGGAGTGGGTAGGGTTTTCATGAAAGCCTCTCAGAAAGGCACACCACACTACGTTTAAATAAGCGAGTAAAAAGAAAAATAGTAAAATTGAAGGAGTGATACGAGGATATAGGATAGGTGAATAACCCAGAACAGAAGGAGGGATACCACAACTCTTTCGCACACATTTGGTCAAAGGATCGACTTCATTTGTCTATTTGACTGATATTTTGGTGCTAAGACTGGAAAGACTCACTGACGATACTGGCGAAACGATTAGGAATGTATCACGTCCACGGTCTGACTGAAAATTATCATGCATACAATGGACTCCGGACTAGGTGCGTTCCCCTAAGTCTTCCTAACAATATGACCGAGTTGCGAAAACAAGGTCAAAAAATTTCTTTAAGACGAAAGGAGATTGTGACCACACACAAGGCCACACCATCTTGGTCTTCATATCTTCTAATTATGGAACCTTTGCCTAACCTTATATCTGTCATGATTTTAGGGTGTTCGTCTAGAGTTAATTCTAATGCCTTCATTGCCTCGTTTATCTGAATGTTAGTGTACATAGGCACTACATCGAAACTTACCAGCAAATATTTTATTTCCATCGTCTTATCATCAAGTAACCTAATAAAGATATGAAGACCAAGATGTTGTGGCCTCTGGTTTAGTTGCACTTCTATAACTTAATAAAGTTATAAGAGTTCTTACTGAAAACGCCCAATTTTCGTATATTTGCTTTAACTGACTACATATAAATCGTTATG